TTTTTTTTTTTTAACAAATGTTGCATGATGTATATGAAGACAGGTTTAATGATTTTCCATTTACTAAATGATAATTACACTAATTATTAAGATAGATTATAGACTTGCCTAACAAAGTAATTAGTAAAACACAATCAATCAAATAATCATTGTTTAAACACTGAAATACCCCAAAAAAGGTTCGTGCAAAGACTGAAGAGCAAATCTAAACTGTAATACAAATTTTTTGTTACCTAATGTTAATTTATTCAATATTTTTTAGAATAATATTCATTTCCGTAATAAAATCATATGATCATAGATCGTTCAAATAATTAATCTCTCTTCTTTTTCGTTCGCATCATTAGATATTATTGTAAGAATCATGTCTATCTTTTTATATACAAGTACAAAAATACATAAATAAAATTGTTGCAATAAGAGCCAAGAACTCAAAAAAAAAAAAAAAAATGGAGAGAGAGTAAAATGTTCATGATTAACAGATAACGAGCAATAAAGAGGGATTGATTAGTATTTAAAGTCCAAGATTATTTTCTTAAATGAAAATTAACTTTCAATAACTGAAGACATATATCCCAAATAAAACTGAAAATTACTGCCAAAGATAACGGCCACAAAATATAGTAACCGAAATTTAAAAGCAAAACTGTGTAGAAATTCTTGGAACTGAAATGACCTTGGCTGACAAAGTCAATTAGTATTTGCTCATAATTAATAGCCGATAAACACGATTAAGAAGAATTAATGGAGGATTAAAGATAATTATTGAAAAGGAATGATTATTTTATCTTGGTTTTCCCTCTCATTTGTATTATAAATCTCACTGTAAAAACAGCGGTGTGTTTTGGTGCATGTGTGGGGTCTGATATATTATTTATTTATTTTTGTCAGCAGACTCAGCACGAGAAGACTCCATGGCTTTCTCTCACTATACTCTCACTACACACTCACTGACTTTGTTTCCCGCTTATTATTGAATTTCATTTACATCTATCTTGATACCATTTCTTGTTTTTTCCGCACTTGAGAGAGGGAAAATAAAGTTTATGTTTGTGAGAGTATTATCCAGATAACAGGTCCATGAGCAGCTGATAAACGGCTGCATACATATATGGAGACAAAAGAGAGATGAAGGGGCTGTTGACAGTTCAGTGAAGGGAAATAGAGTGGAGGAGAAGGCGAGTTGTGTCGAGAGTGCAAAGGGGAGATCGGTATTGGTGATGGACACTCCAGAGAGGAGTAAGAATAGCCAAATCACAGCATCCATTGACAAATTCGAGGTACAATTTGATTCTTGGAACCCAAAGTTTTCATCTTTATCTTCTTCATTTCCCTTTTTGTGTTATGGGTTTTTATTTTTGTTAATTTACCTTGGATTTGTTGGTGTTGGGATTTTAGAGGCTGGTTTTGAGAAATTTTAGTTAAAAAAAGTTCTTTTGACCTCTTTCTTACTTGATCTCGTATTTCTGGGGTTTGTCTTCTTGAAATTGTCTTGGTAAGTAGGGCTTTGAGTGGTTCTATCAAAGATGTCTTTTTAGGGTTGATCTAGATTGTTGGTTCTTGGTCACTGGGAAAAATAAACTTTGAGAAGTGGGGTTTTCACAATTTTTACCAAAAACCTTCCTCTTATTTTTGGATCTTTTTTTATTTGATTTTTGGTTGATTGTTCTTTTTTGTCGCTGGAACAGATTTGGAATTTGGGTTTCAGCAATTTGGTGAATGTGTTTTTTTTGAGGTTTTCTTTCAATTGCTATGAATTACTACTGAATTGAATTGCAAATTTCTCCTTTACGACCGGCCTTCAAATTGTGGGTTTGCCTGTTAATCTTTGACTTCGTTTTTTGGTTTGTTTTGGATTATTGTTTCCAAGAAATCTTTTTGGGGGAATGAATTCTGTATTCTTACTGCATGTCGTCATAATTTGCACCTATTTTGTCAATTTTTCTTCTTCTTCGAAATTTTTGCTTCCCTATAGGATTTGAGGAACTTGTTCTCAATAAAATTCTTAAACCATTGAGTTTTATGGTGTATACGCTTTCCTGGGCCTTTTTCACATCGGTATTCAAATAGAAAGTTCTAATTAATGATTTTTGCAAAATTAAAACTTGCTATGTAATGATGTTGTTCGGGGACTTATTCTAAGTGAATCATAATAAGTCATCTTTCTTTTCTTTATTTATTTGTATCTGGAGACTATAACAGTCCCTTGTGCACCAGTTGAGCGCGGGTGAAGAATTGGAGCTCATTTGTCAATCTTTTTAAATTTCTTTGTACCTTTTGAATTCACTATGCAGGCCTTTGAATTACTTGTTTATTGAGCTATATTCACTCTTTATCTTGTGAAAGTGCTCATCATTCATCAATGTAGAAATTATGAGTTTAGAACCTACATGTATGAAAATTGTTGCTTGTTTTTTACTTCATAAATATCTAGGTTTTACATATTAATCCACCATAAAATTGCTCTTTTGGTATATAAGTTGTGGGTTTTACTGTTGAATTCTTTTTTTTTTCTGCCTTTTTGCTCTTTAATTAATGACTGGTTTTCCACTTCCATGCAGGACTCTCCCGTCTTTAATTTTCTCAATAATCTTTCCCCAATCAAGCCAGTTAAGTCCATACACATCACTCACACGATCAATGCTCTTAGTTTTGCATCCCTTCCATCTGTTTTCAGTTCCCCCCACCTTAGTTCACTAAAGGAATCGAGATTTCTCAGGAGGTAACTAATTATTGATGATTCCCTGTAAATATAATTTGTGTCACCTTGGTAGCATCTACTACAAGCGTACTTTTTTGTCTCTTTCCAGGCATCAGCTCCCAGATCCATCAAAACCTGAGTTTGCTTCTGACGATGCTAGTATAGTCGATACAAGTAAGGAGACTATCGGTGCCAGTTATGAATTAGTTGAGCATCGGACAAATTTTGATCAACCGAATTCTATTGGTCAAGTAGCTGATGAGCCATCTTTCGAATGTTCGAAGCTTGATGTCGAGTTTGAACAGAACTTCAATTATGATTGCTGTAGTCCTGGCTCCAGCTTAAAACCTAGCTGCGGCCTTAAAACCAAACACATGGCTGAATATGCTTGCACTTCGTCTGCACTTATTCCGTTTGCACAAGAATCATCCCAGAGGGGGTTATTTGGAAGTGAAGTAGATCTTGATAGGGTAAGCCAAATTGATCAAAATAAAGAAGCCACAGGATGTGATTGGAAGAGTTTGATTTCTGATGATCCAGATCAATTAATTTTTGAATCACCAAATGATACAGAGTCTTTCAAGAAATCAGTTGGCCCTGGAAAAGGTTTATACCCGAGTATTAGCAATGACATGCAGAATACGTATTCTTTCTGTGGAGCTGGTTCTGGCGAAAAAGCTGAAGAGGAAGACGAAACAGAAAATCTATGTACTCAACCTGGTGAAGGGAATGAGCTGAAGGAAATTGCTGAAACCCATGATATAATTTCTGGTTCTTCTTTGAGAATTCCTATTGAGGAAGTGGATAATGAGGTTAGAATTGCAGTTCATTTCAGCAAGATAGACACTACACTACCATTTGTATATAATGACGTGTAATTTGTGAAGAACGCGAATGTATGTATATGTTTGCATTTTGCATGTGTATGTACATGAGATTTCTGTATGGTTTTGAGATGACTTACCAAATTCTCTTTACAAAGTAATTTTCATTGTCTTTGTAGCCTGTTTCTGGTTTGTACCGTGGCATGAGAAGACGTTGTCTGGTATTTGAGATGGTGGGATCTCGCCAAAAACGTTTTGAAGAGAATTCAGTTTCTGATTATTCTGCATTTCTGCAATCCGATGGCAATACGCCTAACAGCAACGATCAGTTACTCCCTACAAAGACTGGAAATGATTCTTCAAAATGCGTTTTACCTGGCATTGGTTTGCATCTAAATGCTCTAGCAACAACTCCAAAGGACTACAAATTTGTCAAGCATGAAGCTTTAGGTTCTGGAAGACTATTGATCGGTCCCAGCCCAAATGCCAATTTTCAACCTCTGAGCACTGGTCAAGAGTTGTTAAATAATACTTTGGTTGTTAACTCAGAAAGAGAAATTTGTGCCGTTGAAAATGGTGTTCTTGCGGAAGATGCTTGCCAGGCATCTGGATATATGATCAATGAAGAGTTCAATCAGAGTAGTCCAAAGAAGAAGAGGCATGTCTTCTTTACTGTAAATATAGCTTTCCTTTGCATTTAGCCTTTTCCAGATGTATAACATGTATTAAATTCTCAGACGTAGGTTGGATCAAGCAGGAGATGGTGAAGCCTGTAAGCGATGTAACTGCAAGAAATCAAAATGCTTGAAACTGTAAGTTCTTTATTTTCTGTGTCTCGCAATGACACAAATGTACACATTATGATTGGACTTGTTCTTTGTATTTTGTCTAAGAGTTCCCGTGGGTTTAAGCTATCATACTTTATGGGCCTTATTGAATAGTAATTGGACTCTCGTGAGCTCCAAGTCTTGTTATTTCCTTGTTGTTAGTCTTAAGAAGTCTATTTGTTATTTGGTGTTATTATAGTCATGTTTGGTGAATTGAAATAGCTATACGTCAAATTTTGGCTTGCCTACTGCTTTTAGTTCTGCTTGTTAAATCGATAGTGATCCATTAAATGTGAAATTCTTGATATGCTTGAATTTTGATGGTTAGATCTTCTTCTCTCTTCCCCCCATCATTCAAGAGTTTTTCGTTTGCTGTCATCAACTTTGGTTAGGTTAAGTGCCCTGCATTGGGCACTTTTCGTTGTTCAGGAAAACCTAGAATCAGCTTCAGAAACTTCATTATGCGGATGGAAGCCTGTTTGTAGCTTCTGACAATGCTTTTAATCAATTAAATTTTCTTAATGCAGTTACTGTGAATGTTTTGCTGCTGGTGTCTACTGTGTGGAGCCATGTGCGTGTATAGATTGCTTCAACAAGCCTGTCCATGAGGACACTGTCCTTGCAACTCGTAAACAGATTGAATCCAGAAATCCTCTTGCTTTTGCTCCCAAAGTGATTAGGAGCTCGGATTATCTATCTGAAGCCAGGGTTAGTCAGTGAATTCTAGACTTAAGTTCTGCGCTTAAGCGCATTTAAATATTCTGTTTAGTTATTCATTGCAGGATGAGTCCAGCAAAACTCCTGCTTCAGCTCGACATAAGAGAGGATGCAATTGCAAAAAATCTGGTTGCCTGAAGAAATATTGTGAATGCTATCAGGTTTCTTTTCATCTGTTCTGATTTTGCAGGCTTTTCTTTAGTCTGTAAGCTAACGGAAAATCTTTCTATTGAAGGGTGGTGTTGGATGCTCCATTAACTGCAGATGTGAAGGGTGTAAGAATGCATTTGGTCGAAAGGACGGTGGGTGTGGTTTTACAAGTCTCGGTATTATGTTTTGAAATTTTATTTTCCTTTCTGACTTAGGCTTTTGTTTATCAGGCACAGAAGCTGAATTTGAAGAAGATGAAACATACACAACCGAGAAGGGAATAGAGAAATCCGCAATCCAGAATGATCTGGAGCAGAATCTTGATTCTGTTCCTCCTGCAACACCTTTATCTCTAGGAAGGTAAAAATTATACATCTTCGTTTCCAATTGCTAAGGTGGTTAATAAATATAGTTGTTTCAATTAATGTTCTTGTTCTATTAGACAAACCATCCAGCATCCATTCTCCTCGAAGAACAAACTGCCTAGACCTTCTTTTCCTTCTATTAGCTCCTCTTCTGGTTTGTACGCCAGTCATGGGTTTGGGAAACCAGGCCTTTTCCAATCTTCAACGAGGTTTGATAAGCATCTTGAAACTGTTCTTGAAGATGAAATGCCCGATTTTCTCCAAGCTTCGTCACCTAACAGTTGCATCAAGACATCGTCTCCCAACAGTAAGAGGGTCTCGCCTCCTCACAGCGTAGGGACGTCTCCCAGTATGAGAAGCAGCCGTAAGTTAATACTTCAATCTATTCCGTCTTTTCCTTCCCTCACCCCCAATCATTGACAGTCTTCTCCCCAGTGAATCTTGAAGGAAGTTCTTTCAATGTTTAAAGTAGTTATACTGATTATGTTCTTTTATTTTTATATTTGTCGATATTACTCTTCGACCTTGTATCGTCGTCCATGTTTTTGTAATAAATAACTATGTTTATTAGCTATCGAAAACACCATGTTACATAAAAGCCAATCTATGATTGACTATATACAATGTCCAAGTTTTCTTCATAATATATACATTTAAAAACTGATATGAGTAATGGTTGAGAGTTACATGTTCTGCTATTGCAAATTCTACTGTTGCTTAAATTACATGGAGGTAAAATGACAGTGGCAGCCATATATTTTATGTCACCCCCTTCCATAAATATATCATTTGTTATTTCTAATTATGGATATTGTGATCTATTTTACTATTTTTTATGACACATTTGTAATTTTATATGACAAAAAATAAATTTTATTGCCCTAATGTAACACGTAGTGTGTAAAATGTACATTTATAACACTACGCAAAAGTGTTTCCCATGAAATTATGATAAAGAGTGAGCTATTCCTGACGTGGTAAAATTATGAAAGTTGCTTGGAAACTTATGAAGGAGTCCACACCACAGCTGCCTGTGAGTTTATGAGGTTGCATTTTGTTACACTCTCCACATGGCGGAAGGGCTATGGGCGCATAATAATCGGCACTCTTTTTGAAGACCTCTTACCTGGTCTGAGGTTATATGACGAATCGATTCTTGAGTCAACCTCAAAAATCTAGCCAAGCATGGACCAACAAACTGTTATAGTCTAATTGTGACGGGACGTGACAATGGACAACGACATGACAAGGTGATTATAATGTGACAGCATGCTATAATCTATTTTCATCTTCTCACTTGTTTTGATACTTTTTTCTTTCAGAATGGGAATAGTCGCCTCCCCTCTTGTGGGTGGCCGGACTAAATTTATTATTATTATTATTATTATTTTGTAGAGTAATGGATGTTTTGTTGATCGAAAGATGTAACGAACTTTTTGAGGTCAATACGACAATCTTGTAATTGATGTATTGCACAAAATGCATGACATGACAATTGACTAGATATTTATATTTTGTAGGTCACGAGAGTGATATCACGGTCTATATTTGGTGTAAACGTTAGAACATTGAGAATGCCTATCCTTGAATCAGCAAGAAATTACTTCTATTTGTTATAGATCCATCTTAAATGTTTCTTGAAATTGAGCACGATTTAGCAAAAAAATATCTTATTTCTTTCCTGGAAAGAGATTAGTAACATGTTCAATACCATTTGATACAATAGCTCAAAAAACCATCCATTTGAATTGATATTTTTCACAAAAAGCATGTCATTTTGCAACAAAATGTCTCTCCTTGGGTTCATGGGTGTTAACAAACAGAGGTGGTGGTTTTTTTTTTTTTTTTTTGTCGATAAATGTAAATTTTTCATATACAAATACACTAGGCATCCCCAAGCAAACAAAAACCAATATCACATACAATTACTTCGGGCATACTCAAGAAGTACAAAAAAAGTAAAGTGCATAAAAAGTCAGTGATCCAACGCTAAGGACTCGAAATGGATCAAGACATCCAGATACAAAAAAAAACATAACTTTGTATACGTGCGTCTTGATCCGTCTTACAATACAATCCAAGTTGAGTGAAAGGCCTTCAATAATCTTCCTATTATGTGCAAACCAAATGTAGTAGACAGTCCTAATAAGTGCAACCTTCTTAATCTTGCTAAGCAATGATGTCCCACGGGCTTCTTTTATCATCCACTTTGGAGCGCTTGTAGGTGTTGACATAGATCTTATAATGCCCGGCCATTGTCTAATATTCCCCCATAAGGTCGATGTGAAGAACATTCAAAAACAAAGGTGGTTTTGCTAGGGGGTGGGATGGGGAATTCATTGGAGTTCACAAAACTTGCATACTTTACTGTGGCACCCAACTCTGTTTTGTTTTAATGATCGAATGACATTTTTAATAGTTCGACCAATCTATTCGTAGCCATGACCAATATAAATCACAGTTCCACATGGTTAGCATTATGAGTTCAACCATTCTGTTTGTAACAGTGACACGTAGAAGAAAGTGCATCGACTGAAAGTTCTACCTGGAACTACTTCAAACACCAGACTGTCTTAACAATTTTTTAGAAGCAGATTTGTCTCCATCCCCCAGAAATTAGAAAGTTTTCAGGCAACATTGCTGAACTCAAGAAGCAAATTTATAATGAACAGAAAGAGCTGTGGCCAAGGATATTGATTTCAAGACTATCGAGCACAGCTGATATAAGAAGCCGAGGAAACTGCTAACAGAACTAATGAAAATATTAACAAACAAGTTCAACTGTTGAAACATATTGAAGACCGACCCCACCAGATGGTAGGGCATTTCAAAGTTGGCCACGATAATCACCAAGAATGATGGCTATTGAAAATGCATGAAATGGGTTCAATAGCAAAAATTTAGACCCTCGCGTTCCAAATATCTTTCCTTTTATTAGTTAAGATAAGAGACTGATCTTTGTCCACCGGAGCTGCAAGGACCAACAATCAATCATGATCCACAACCATGGCCTTCTCAAAGGCTCTATTCTCAGAAGCACAGCTCGACAACATTTTCTCTACAGGTTCAAAAGAACTATCAAGACTGAGCAATTCACCAGATATTACAAACAGAACATCTTATATTTTCAGAAGTGCCACCACATGTCGAAAGGCATTCAAGAAAAACATCAAGAGCGAGAACCAACAGAAGGGGAATAAACCCCAACAGATCATAACCACGTAAATCAAATAGTAAAAAAAAGATTAGAATTCCGCAAAAAGAAATCAACACGGTAACTCAAAATACATGGGATATCATGTTTTCTAGTAGCTGAGTACTACAGTATTCTCTCTTTTCAGCATAAAAGTTCTTCCTAAATTACTTCAAAAAAACAAAATATGAAGTACTTCATATTCTTGTGTCTGTCAAGCAAAACCTGCTGACAGAAGGCGTAACAGGCATCCATTCAGGCACCAACTACTTCAGTTGCCTCGACCATTGGCTCCTCAGCAGGCCTGTCCAACTTCACACCAACATCTTCACTGTAATCACCATGAACCTACACAACCATGGCATATTAAGTTAAAAAATACAATTTGGCATTATTACATCGCATGACACTGCATCCAAAAAGGGTACAATTCAGCACTTCATGATGGTAAACATGGGTGGATTGAGTTATCCAAAATGAGCCACAGCCGGCAATGGGGGAAGTCAAAAAGTACATTGACATCAGGGGCGGACCCACATGGGGTCAAATGACCCCACAGTTTTTTTTTTTTTTTTTTTTTTTTTAATTTTCTGCTGCTGAAACGGTTATTTGGGTTTGGGGTTCCAAATTCCAATTAATTATCCACTCCAATCCATTAATCCTATGACTTTATTTTCGTTAATGATACGTTGTTCGAAAAAAAAATTATTTTTGACCCCACAATCCGAAGTATCTGGATCCGCCCCTGATTGACATGATTAAATACTAAATAGAGTATCTGCTAAAGCATAAGCTAGTGATGAGAATGAAAAACTAAACACTTGCCTCCATCAACTTGCCAAGGTCAAATTTGGGAGCTTTCAATATTTTAACCTTCCGGATATACACATTCTGCAGAGGATAAATGCTTGAGGTTGCTTTCTCAATCTCTTTCCCAATCGATTCAGGAATAAACTTCTGAACCAAATCCTTGAGATCACAGGATTGTGCCTGGTTTACCATGATCTCCCTCATCTTACGGCGTATCTAACAAAAACAGAACTCGGTGATTAAAACAGTCGGAAATAACATAAAATAAAGCATTTTCTTAATAAGAACACTACTACACTAATGATGCTATCTATATAGAGTATAAAAGTGTAACATAAACATAGAGGATCTCAGAATAATGCAATTTACTTGGCGAATCTGGCTTGATTGTGCATAGCATGTCCTCTTTTGCTGGTTTGCACGCTTTTTAGTGAAGCCAATGCAGAACATCCTCAGAGTATAGTTGTCCGTAGTCTTGACATCAACATGAGCCTCAATCAGGGATTGCCATTTCCTTACAAGTGACCTCAATTTATCAGTAGTGAAGTTCATACCCTGCAATAATAGATAAAAACAGAACAGATAAGAAACTTCTGCATAAAACACAGAATGGGAACAACCAAATGCTTCGGCTATTATCATACCCAGAAGTTGGTGAGAACATTCTTTCCCTGAACATCCTCAGCTCTCAATCGGATCTTCCGGAAGGAGTGGTCTTCATCACCTTGAAGATCAGCCAAAGATACTTCAAAAACACGATGCTTGAGCCCTTCTGAAGCAATCTAATAGAGGAAACAATGCAAGTAGTTTGAGTAATTGCATCAAATATAGTTTGCAAAACAATGATGTTAAAGCAATTGTACGGTAAAAATGAATTCTGTAGCAGAAGCTTTCAAATAATTATCTACTTCTAGGTTAGAAACATAGAATGACATCATTTATTTTTCTTTTTCACAGTAGTTACTTCTTAATGATTTTCACTTTAAGTACTAGAAAATGTCAAAGTTCTTTTAAGCCAAAAGCTTGTGACTCGAATTGCAATCCCAACACAGATGTATCTCAGAATCATTGACTAACTTAGTATGAGCAACTAACTCAAAGTTTGGTAACTTGGAAATTAGAAGTATCCTTGCTGTGTGATAAATCTTAAATCTTGAAGAAAAATCAACAGTTTCCGGATCTTAAATCATTCAGGAGGAACTAACAATTACTAGGAATGGGAACATAATCCAACGGAAACAGTGTATCTGTGTCCTTTGACAGAAGATGAAACCTAAAATAAAATAAAACTCACTACACCTTCTGGATAGCAGACAATGCTAGATCCTGGGGAAAGATTACAACTTTACAAAAGCCAAATCAGAGACGTTGCGTTTCAATGGCTAAACCAATTCGTCAATCAATTTTAACATCACATTAGCATGAGTCAAATATCAATGCTCCAGTAAAACGAATATAATTTAAAGAAAGAAAATTAACCTTGGTACCCTGAGTACGAGTAACTAGGGTTTTGCCAATGTTTCTGGTATTGAAAACTGATGGGGCTTTGATATCATACCAATCCTTCTTTGCAAACGGATCAACTCTATATGAATAACAATCGGATACATACAGGCATAAAAATTACAGGAAAAACAAAAATCTCAAGAAAAACCTGTATGAATGAAAATTTAAATAATACATAATACAGTAATTAAAAGTGCTCACGCTTTCTTCTTCCCTCCTTTCTTCCCCTTCGAGATCCTCTTGTTCTTCCTGTATCACATCAGAATACATGAAACAATGTTAACGTGAAAATCAAAAGCAGAAACTTCATATAAAAATATGGTATTTCAGAGATAAATCCATAAATGCTGGCTGTGAGATGGACTATACCCGACGGCCATGGTTGCGGTGGCGGACCTGCTGCAAATCGGCGGCGCGCTGATACTAAAACGTGCTCTACGAAACCCTAGGTTAACAGACTGTTTATATAGAGTGTGGTTGGTCATACGACATCGTCTTGTTGATGGGCCTACTGGTTCAACAAGAAGTCTCGTCACTTGTTGGGCTGAACATGTGTACAGGGAAGTTGTTGTATACAACATTAGGAAAAAGATAAAGGGAAAGGACCTACTTCAGCAAAACCCACAACATTGAGGACCGTTCGATAATGATTATGAGTATTGATTTTTTAAACGTTAGAAAGAAAAACGGGTCTCATTTGTGAGTGAAAAAGTCAAAAATAATAGTTGAAATAGTCAAATAATGATTATAAAATTGATTTTGTGGAGCGAAATATTTCTATCAAACGAGGGCTAAAAGTGATAAGAAAAACCTGTTTGGCCAGGCTTAAAGCGCATAAAGTAATGTGGAGCATTTTGTTTGTTAAACAAATTGAACAGTATTTAAAATTTGATTAAGAGCCTATTTGGTTTAGATTAAAATCTAATTTTAATTTAAGTCAAAATCAAACAATTAATATTAATTATATCATTTATGAATCCCATAACTTTTCAATCACACATTTCAAAAACTTTTGTTTCAATTTAATAAAAAATTTAGTTTTAATCCCCCCATCAAACACCATCTTAACAAAAAAAAAATTCTTTCTTTGGTCTTGTTTGAGCTACATTTAAAAAAAAAAATACATTCTTAAACAGTAATTTGATATCATTTCAATCACATATTCTTCAATAAAATAATATTACACGTAAATTCAAAATTTTTCTTATTTTTAACTACACATTTTCCATCAATACACTATTTAAAACTGCATTTTCATTCCAATAATGTGGCTCAAACAAGGGCTTTGTATTCTCAACTTTACCATCACAATCACACTACTTACATCTCGTGTTTAAGTTGTCACTCATTAGGGATGACCAAATTTTTCGACTTGACCTACATTTCCTCACATTTATTGGAATCGTGAATCCCTTTTCTGCATAATAAATGGGACTGGGATAGGGAGCATAGTCCCGCCTTGAATTCTCCGAATACCGAACCAATCTTGATTTTATATTGTATTATATTTGTAGAAATTTGAATTTTAATCGTATTTGAAAAAGTAAATATTTAAACGAGATGATATATAGAGATTCTTTAATCTTCGTCCCAGACAGCGCCATCCCATTTTCCAATACCGAGTTTTGGCTTTTGGTGTCAAGTAGCCGAGTTTTTGGACGGAAAATTTAAAGGCCTTTTGAAGCAAGAAAAAAAAGTTGGGGCTCAAAGCGTAAAGAAGAACACATGTTGGGGACTGAAAGTGAAATTTTCCCTAAACTATAAAGCCTGCTATTAAAATGAGGGAATCAGTGAAACATAACCCAGAAGCAAAATCTCGAAGAAACCCTAAAACAGCCAAGAGTAATAATAATCTTAAGAACTAAAGATTCAAATCAGAAAGTGCAAAGTCATGGCAGAATCACAGGAAAAGTCAGACGAAGTATCGCTGAAAGATCAAGGCAATGAATTCTTCAAATCTGGGAATTATCTGAAAGCTGCAGCTCTTTATACTCAGGCCATTAAACAAGACCCTTCCAATCCCACTCTTTACAGGTTTAAATACACGCGTTTTTATATATACTTTACGTTGTGCTTTTGTCTTGTTGATTGTGGCGACTAGGTTGTGTCTAAAGATTGGATCTTGTTGCTTCAAGGTTGAATATTTTGTTCAATAATGGAACTTTGGATTCCAGATTATATTCACTGTTTATTCATTTAGTATATAATTTTTTTTTCCTGTTTGTGTTGATATGGTTCTAATTTCTACTTCAATATTGAATTTTTACTTTGTAAACTTCAAGAGTTCATTTTATTACTTGAAGATCCATTTTTTCCAAAAAATTTTGAAAATTTTTACTTGGCAAAGGAAGTTTTTTCTTTATTTATCTCTTCATTGTTCTTTTGCTAAAGTTTATACTAGTTTTATCGTTGCTCTACTGGAACTATTGTGAGTCAGTACAATAAGAATGCTCGGAGTGCGCAAGGAGGTTTGTCTTTAATGGATTTGGGATTTCACTCTGGTTCATTTAATAAATTGTGTATATAAATCTTTGCTTGTCACACTAATCATAGAGCTTGTGATGGTGCTCGAAAAGAGGAAATTTAGATTAACTTTAAGAATTAACACGTACCTGCAAGTATGAATATGAGGCTAGAAAATGAGTGTAAGGATAGTTAAAGTGGTGTAATGAAAACACGGTAGATGAGAGGAGGACAAATAGATGGATGATTGAAATGATATGTAAAGTGGTTTAATGAAAATCAGCTGGTTTAGATCCGTTTTGGAAGGAGCATGATGTCTATTTTAGATGTTGAAAACCTGTCAAAGTAAATGCATTTAACTGCATATAACATAAGTCTGTCATCATCTCTTTTCCAGAGAATTAGTTGAAGAAAAATAATAATGCACTAAAGCCCATTTTAATTGAACGACTTGACTTGATTTTTAAAATCATGTTAATCTGGAAAATATCAGAATGAGATTATGATGTTGTTTATCACCTCGGCAATATTGATTGAAAATACTATTATTGCGTAATCTGAAAAATCGATGGACAAAACTCAATCTGCATCATGTTAGGGCTTCCACTTTTTTTGTTTCTTTAGTCAATACCTTCTACATGTCTTTGTGAGTGTTGTCTTTGGACATCAGTTTTCATTTTCTTCTTGTGATTTAATTCTTCAAATATCAAAATGTTGATTGCAAATTGGTACTTAAGCTGGAGAACCTGCAGCTTTAAATTATGTTGGCTAGTGCTTTTTTACATTTAATCCATTGTGTGGGAATTTGACAATGAATTATCTTTTGCGATTTTGCTCTATACCAGCAATCGTGCAGCAGCATTTCTGCATTTGGTTAAACTGAACAAAGCGCTTACTGATGCAGAGACAACAGTCAATTTGAAACCTGACTGGGAAAAGGTATGTTCACTCGTAAAATGTTTCTCGAACTCTGGACATCTCATTATGGAATGCTACTGACTGCTGCTGTTGCAGGGCTATTTCAGGAAAGGATGTGTCTTAGAAGCCATGGAAAGATATGATGATGTATGTATATGTTATTCATCAACATGTGTCAAAGAATTCCTGGCAAAACATGCCTGAAATACTGAATCCTAGTTTAATGATGTAGGCCTTAGCTACTTTCCAGATAGCCTTGAAGTACAATCCACAAAGTTCAGAGGTATCAAAAAAAATCAAGAGGCTAATGCAATTGTCGAAAGATAAAAAGCGAGCTCAAGAAGTGGAAAATATGAGATCGAATGTTGATATGGCAAAACATTTGGATACAGTGAAATTTGAATTGGTGAGTGAGAGAAGAGACATCATCTGCCCCTTATATGTTGTTTTGTTATACTCAGCTCGTATTTGATGTTTGTTTATGATTTATATTGTTGACCATCTCATCTAACAACTTAAGCTCATGAGTACATTTAAATTTAGTCATCAATATATTTAACATTTAGGTCTTTCCCTACTCACAACATTCTCTTGATAATATCAACTGAATGAATTTTTCTTTATGCAGTCTGAGAAGTATGGAAGAGAAGAGTGTTGGAAAGATATCTTCTCTTTCCTTGTAGAAACTATGGAGACAGCTGTAAAATCATGGCATGAAACTTCTAAAGTAGACCCTAGAGTTCATTTTCTCCTCGACAAGGAAAAAACAGACACTGAGAAATATGCTCCTGCTGTTAATATTGATAAGGTACTAAACTTTTTGTGATAGTTTTACTTATTTTTTGTCTTCATGTTTTACTATGGGTTATCTGAAACATTGGTCTTGTCCATGTAGTCGTCTGAATCAGTAAAAAGTAAATTGTTTTTTGTTTAATATATATGTCCATTTTAGCATCTATGAATACATAAATTAACTCTCCAGTTTCCTTAATTATGCCAGGCATTTGAATCACCCCATACTCACAGCAGTTGTGTCTCATTCCTTAGACAGTATGCTCAAGATTCTTTCTCTCAAGCTGCATGTTTAGTGGCACCAAAAAGTATAATATCCTACCCTCAGGTAATGTTTCTCTTCCACTTAGTGCTTTATATTTTCAACTGTTCCATTTTGAAATTCAGCATTTTAAAGTCAAGAATACATCCTCCACTCTCTACATTTGCCTCTCTTCTTTTAACCAATTACATGTATCCGTATGGTGAAATAAAATGCACGAATGGTTATTGCCATTGTCATTGTCATTTGTAGACAGGTTTTGGGATGAGTAGTAATATCATGATTCAAAAGTTCATATTTGGACCGACAGCATTCTTCTCTTCATTGAAAACTTCTTCCTTTCTGTCCTGCTGTACAAATCACTAAGAACCTGTATTTGTCGTTATTTAGTTTGCTTTCCTTCAAGATTTTTGTACGTTCAAAACTGAAGTACGGTTTCTACCTTAATTGATCTATTATCTAATAACCTCTCTGTAAATGCAGGTATGGAAAGGTCAAGGATCAAGGAAATGGAAGCACGGACAGCATGATGGTTTCTTTATCCAATTTGAATCACCTTCATTACGGAGATTGTGGTTCGTCCCCAGTTCTACTGAAAAGGGGCAAATCTTATGCAGGTCTCTCTCTCTCTCTCTCACACACACTTGTGAAAGGTACAAGCAATGTACGCATGTTGAATAACTATCCAAGGCTATGAAATTATTTAAGGAAATAGCATTGCCCACCCGTTTTTACCCGTACTAAATTAAGAAAGTGGAACATTTTTCCATTGTTATTGTAGGCCTGAAAGTCCCTCATTTTTGTCTTCAGGGATCCTGTTGGTTTAGACATCAGTGTGCATGAAATTCTTCCTCTCCTATTCAAGCACGCAGAATAGATGCAAAAAAGTGCTCTCTTTGACTCTGATCGGACTCCGTCAATGGACAGCTAATTGGAGCCAAGGCAAGGAGTTTGTAATTCATGGTTACAATGAACATTGTACCCAATGGCAATTTTGTCTCGTTTATATCCAAGCAGATGGATGCGTCCAAGTTCACTTGCTTATCCTCGGAGTGGGTAGGAGTTTGGAAGTCATTACAATTCAAGGAAGCTTTTTAAACTGTAGAAAGTACAAACTGCAAGTGGGATGTCCTTTTTTGTGATTTGATTTGGGCTGTTTTCAAACTAAAATCTTTGTTTGGGATGAGTTATTGTATTGTCAGTATTTGATTGAAGACTGATGCATGGTATGGGCTATTATTGTGCTTTCATGATTGAGATCAGCTACTGTAAATTCTTGAAGTACAGGATTTTTTTGTCTATTTGTTAGTTTCAAGGTGGAAAAGAAAAAACCTTAGCAACTGAAATTGTGTTGGAATGACAATCGGAGGATGCTAGGTGTACATTATAGCATCCATAATGTACAAGTGTCACCCTCCTGACCCCTCTAATAGGGAGATGCCAGCTGTACATTATGGCACCCGGCACCCCTCCTAGGGAGGTACATTATGATGCCATAACGTACAAGTAGATAAATCCATGACAAAAATCTCTCCTAGTCACTTAGAGCTCTGGGCATTTCTGGCAGCTCATTGATATGTTGTGTTACAGTAAAATTTTTTGCAATACATTGCACGGATGAAATACTCCCCCGTCTTCAGAATCATGATTCTTCATCATTCAAGGCTATAAACAGTAAATACTAAATGTTGGCACAAAAGCATAAAGAAATCTTGCAAAACTATGTTAGTTATATTAAACCATTGTATCTCGAATCAAAGAACGTGTTGGGACTGTTGTCCAACCATTTAACACTAGAAAATTTTACACTCGTACACATGTAGATGTCATCTACATGTTCGTATTAGAAGTTTTCATCAAACAAACAAGAATTCTGAGAATCAAGCAAAACTGAAATTAAAGCCAAAAAATGGTTTTATATTGAAACTATGAGCTGACTTTATATTCAACATGTCAGCTTGTTTTGGGGCTCATCCTCCATTTGTTGATCACCAGGAGCTTCTTTGTCCTCGCCATTGTCCTCATCAAACTCCAACTGTGATGGATGTGGAGGCAAAACCTGCACCACAGACTCTAGAAACTCGTCGATTCTATCTCCCATGCGGGAGTCACAATCTTGTATGATCTGCAAGTAACCAAAATATAGAAAAAAAAAAAATTACAAATGAATTTGCAATTGAGTTCCAATCTTGTATGATCTGCAAGTATAGGACCAAACAATAGAAAATACATATACAAATAAATTTGCAAGTGAGAAGGGGACGGCTTGCACTTGCAAGCAGATCTGAGGCATAATAGATGAAGATTTTCCCAATCGATATATAGTTCAAGACTCTTGAATTGACATTTCCCCACTTCCTATTTGAGATTTGCAAAAGATCCAAATGGAATGTAAACGGCAAAATGAAAGTGTATAGCCTCTCAAAGCTCTGCTAAATTCATTGTTATTTCTTGGCATCATAACAAATCTAGCAGCCTGCATAGAACTTAGATATTACTCCCATCATACCTTTACCACATTTCCTTTTGATTAATATAAATGTTGATAGCCAGATGGTCGCTAAAGAGATCATTCTATTTCTAACATACAACATGCAACATCTACACTGTGCACTCTTAAAGTGCGTTTAATCAGCATCTTGAGAGTTCTTAAATTCGAAATGTTCAATGATCTTGAATGAAGATAAAATCTAACACTAACATCTCAATAATGAATTCACAACATTTATCCAAGTAAGAGCATAATATTAATAGTTTGACAGCAATTACCGGGTCTATCTCAACTGCAGATGAAGGCCTAATGTTGACAATATTAAGCATCTCACCATTAGTGAGGTCGTACTTCTTACAATCTTCCACAAACTTATGGATGATTTCTATTGTTTGCTTGGATGCAACAGTTTGCTCTAAATAATCATAAACCTGCACCAAACTAAAACGTATTAGCCCTGAATAAAACTCTCTACTTTACTTGATGAGGAGATGTAAATCAAGAATGAAAAGCTCCAACCTTGAATTCAGATGGTGCCACGGCAGCTATAGCACGTGTAGGATCTTTCCCTGCCCCTCTGGATCTTAAAAGCTCAAGCACTTCACAATTAGTAAGTACACCAGCATTCGATTGGAGTCTGCAGAATACCCATCAGCAAGAGGCATACAAATTCAGTGAGTCATTTAGGCATCATAAGGCAGCAATCATCAACAAAAGTGCTAAAAAGATTGGAATCTGCATTGTGTGAGATAACATACATCTTCATTGCCGTGGGCTGGTCGATACAGTTGATATTTAAATTTACATAAAAGTAGTTTGAATGGTCACAGGCAAGGATGTTGGTGTAAATTACCTGCAAATTTTAAGAGTCCTCCATTATACAAGGTACATTCCTCATATCCCATAAAATAAACATGGCAAGTAATTACGCAATAATTGTAAAATACACCATAATCTACCAAACAAAAATGGAAACTGAAAATTCTGTTTCCCATACAATTCTTTTCCAACAAATTAAATTGAGAAAATACAAAATTATATGCACCGAAAGTTTATCAACAAGAACTCTAATGATGGATTCACAAACCATATATTATTAAGAACAATGAGAATACGAAACACAATTAGAACTAATAAGGCTTTGACCATGTCTATGAAAAAGATATCATCACATCAACTTGAAAATTCTTGTCTCAAAATTGTAGAGGCGAACAGTGGGCCAATGTTAATAGCTCTGGTCTTCAAGCGACACCTTCTACAATTTTACGGGGCAGAGCTAGGAATATTGTGCGGTGTGGGCAGACTTTAATCAAGGCAGGACTTTAAGCCCCCATTGAATTAAATTTCATTTTTTTCTTTCTTATTTTCAATCACATAATCTTCCATAAAATAATATTTCACGTAAATCGAAAACTTTTCCTTCATTTTCAACCACCCATTCTCCAAAAAATTACTATTCCACTCATTTTAATTTGGAAAAATGGGGGCCAAACGGGGGCTAAGATAAACAATAGAGAAATCATGCTTAACTATCATCAATATATAATAATAAACCATGTCAAAAACCTACACATAAAATTTTCACATGGACAGCAAAACAATTCTTATCAAACTGTGTAAAAAACCATCACTACATGTAGTGAAAGATCTAGTGAACCAATTCCCTTAAAAAAGTATCAAACTATGTTAATTCTAATCCACCTATCAACTTTTAACCTATTTTAATGAACTGGAACATTTAAAGCAAACCAAAATGTATGCCTCAACCACATAAATTGCCACTCTTAATTTATGATCAAATCTGATGACATTCAGCTTATAATCACATGAAATGCAAGTAAAAATTAAAATCAAGAGAAAGCCAATCAAGGATGATAGGAATACTTTGTAAAGAGCTAATCAATATTTTAATGTAAAACTTACGTAAAATAAATTTAGGTGACATAACATTCAAGAATTAGAAGTCTTTTGCAAAAACCAAAACAAATAACACAAACCATTAACAAGTTTTCCCTAATATTGACATCACCAAACAAGGTTATTAGTTTACAATCAAACAAAAAGAAGCACAAAAGATAAAAACACAAGTGTGAAAAATAAGTAAACCGTGAAACGGTAATTTTCATCATGAAAAGTATGATTATCAACATGCCACATAGCAATGTTAAACCATAATAATTTGATTATATTTTCATAGTCCTTCATTAATATATAAAATTTCCTGACCCTAGGTGCACTTGTTTAGAAAGCATTGTCCTTGAGGAGATAATTATATGTTGAAACCATAGGGAGATGGAGATAAAAATAGTTATTAAGCGCACTAGAGCTAAGGGTAAGCAGTCTCTAAATCATGTTTTCCCAGGGGTTGAGATTAAAACATCAATTAATTTACCGAAAACTGTGTATTACATTATATGTGAGGAAACATTGTTTCATATAAAGTTTGTACCTTTTTCTCAACTTTTAGATTAAAAAATTCAAATAAATCCCATGAGTTCCACCTCTTTATCTCCATTTCCAACCGTCAAAATAAACCACATTACTTATCAGTCTGCCACCAAAGCACCTCAAATTCAAAATGCAATGAAATAAAAGTTCAGATCAGCTGAATGAAATGTAGAACATCATAATAAAATAAAATTGAAAGATATCATGCAAATTGGTTTAAAGATTCATAAGCTGCAGTCAAACAAAATGCAGAGACAAAAACATATATTAGAATGCAAAACTATCATTTCCTGAGCCTTTTCCACTAAAATTAGAACAGACCTTCAAAAACTATAGGTAAGACAAGAAGATAATGGTCTAGATTCTCCATGGTTAAAAACGGAATTGCTAGTGATTCAACTGAGATTTTAACCGTATATGGCCACAAACAAGATCCCGCTATCGAGGAATTGTGATCAATAGTTTGAATATGAAATAATAGGATTTTAGGTGAAAATATTTGAAAGGGCCGGTACATAAAATTTTGCGTTCAAAAAACCTCTTCTTTGCTGCAATCTGAATTTTATTCGTATTAGCCTTGTCTTCCTCTACCCCACATCTCATCGCAACCCATTTCAACTTCTCCCTTTATATTAGCTTTTCTAGAGTAGTTAATGAATTCATCAAATTTTTATTTCAATCAAATGCACTTCTTTTATGACCAACAAATGCCCAAAACAAGAAGGAAACTTATTACAGATTTCGTAAAGGAAGGAAAAAAAAAAAAAAAAGGAATCAGACGCAAGTTCTAAGAAATCATTCAGCACTCACAATACCTTCTTCTTCTGCCGATGGACGATGGTGCCCTGACCCTGAGACCTGAGTGTTGGTACCGTACGACAGGCTAGCAGGCAGAGACTTTGGGAGCTGAGAGTCGCAGATAGCCGTAGTCGCGTCGAGCGAGAGAGAGGGGATGAAAGGTTAGGTCCACTTCTAAATTTTCTCTTGGGCTGGGTCAATTGGAAAGCCCAATACTCAAAAAAATGGATTGGGTAGAACAAAAATCAGACACTGTACAACAAGAGATAAAAAGGAAAAATGAAAGACACACCTGAAAGGAATATAAAATAAAATAAGAGTTTATAAACTGTTTCCGGATTCAGATCGTCAAGTAGCCCGGACAGCTGCTGGAAGTCACAAATAACCGCCGGAGAAGATTGTCGCTTCTTTTCGATTTCCCTTCCCTATTTGGTACGTTATGACTATTGGGCTTTAATTAAGAAAACAAAGAATAAGAAATAGCCCAATGGGCTTCAACCTTGAACTTTTATCTTTTTATAAAAAAAATAAATTAAAAATTAAAATATAAATCCAAATAATTAAGTCACTGGTAAAGCTAACAACAATGTCAAATCACACATCACTTCATATAATTTCTCTTTATTGCTTTTATAAAGCTTACCATTTTCCAAATTCAAATATTCGAGAAAAAAGGATTTTTTATGTGTGGCCTGGAAATGGGCATACTGACTTATGTTTGCTGAAGAATGGCCCCAGTCAATATTGTATAATAGCAGCGGTGGAGCCATAAATTTTCACGGACGAAAATCTTAACAAGCACATTTAAAAATGTTATATGGAACCGTCGCAACTTTCTCGAGCAATTAATCTATTTAAACAAAGTAGGTGGACAAAATTTATTGACAAAATAAGTATTGACAAGATTTAGGCCGTTGATTTGTTTTGATTTCAAAATTTAATTTCGATATGAATGATATAAATCTTGTCAACTCATGTTTTGTCACATAGCATCACTATTCCCGAAGAAACTTGGCAAGGATGCATCGTCACAAAGGAGGTTGCATCGATCCACATTTTAACCATAAATTTTTTGACTTTTTTTTTTCTTTTTTTTTTTTTTGCATTTAGTATAAAAACTGAATGACTACAATATTTAACACCGTCTGATCAGAAAGTTGAATTCTTTTTTTCTGTTCACAAGTACGACATTCTATCCAACTAACCCGTAATATACAAGGAAAATGCTGATCTACTAGGGTCAATTTACCAGATCTTTTACAGGTTCCTCACAATGAGGTGGATCTCATGCCTGAACCTCTTATATTAAAAAATTGTAACAAAAATGGCTGACCCACCGAGTCATAGCCTGTAGAAGCCCGATAAAGTCAGCCCTGGTAGCGTAGGGCCCCTCATTTATGGGAGTAGGCATTTCGAAATACAAGGTTGGATAAAACGTACAGAAATGTTGTGTATAACAAAAGAACTTGTTTCTTTGCGACTATTATTTATGTTGTATCCCTATATATCACCTGCACTAATGCAAATGGTAAATTCTGCCAAAGAAAATAGAAAATAGGGAGGAGGGAGAAAAATATATTTTGACCTAGAATTAATACAGGAATCCCTCTCGAGAGTCTACCCTAAAAAAATTGCATTCCCATATTCCCAATTGTAAATTTTAAGAAAATTCATACCATATCAGTTAAACAGTGAAAGTCTGTCTAAAAACTGAACAATTCGCTATCTAACAATGTACTACACTGTATTTGGGGTGCTAAGGCATGAAGAGCTTGTTGCCACACTTGCAACGCCAAGCTTCTGGATAATACTCTAATGGCATACTGACTCCTGGGTGAATTGGAACGTGAACTGGTTTACATGGTAAACACTTTCCACACTTGGATCTACAGGTAGGTGGCGATGATCCTGGGCCACCGAGTCGCCGCCGGGGGAGAACTCGCTCCACCACCTCCTGTTTGATCTTCCTCCCTCCAAAACCAAGAAAAAAAAAAGAAATATATTAACACAGTAAAAGGGCTTAGTTAATTACATGTAACAGAGATTTGAATCTACTTACTGAATTGACGAGTAGGGTTGATGCCAAAAGCTGAAGCTGAAGTAAGTAGAAGAAAAGCTATTGTAGCAAAAGAGATAGTACATTGGTGGCGGTGGCGCAAAACTCCCATCGCCGTGTACGGTGGTGCACAAACTAGCAGTTGCCTTGACACGATCCGTCTGTTTTTGTATGATATATATAATAGATATGCTAAACGATAAACAATGTCGTGGGTGAAGGCGAGACTGGTGAGTGAATTGTAGTACTAAGAGGCACCTATCCCTGTATAAATATTGTAAAGGTTGGGGTTCAACCTTTCCCTGTAAATCTATAAGAGAAGGAGGAAGAGAGAGAGAGAGAGAGAGAGCGAGAAATTGAGAGGATGTTTGGGAAATATTTTTATATAAAAATATATTTTTAAATAGTAAATTGATGGAAAATGTGTGATTAAAAAATAAAGAAATTTTTTTGATTTATTTGAATATTATTGAATTAAGAATGTATGATTGAAAAAAAGAGACATAAAAATACATTTAAAAAAAATAGTACCAAACGGGATCATAGATAGAGAATTATTCTATCACTTTGATTTGCAAGATTATAAAATAAACATATTCAGTCTTTTGAGCTCCATTCTTTTAAAAAT